ATTTTGTTGACTGATCAATACATAATCTTATGTTATGTTTAAAGATACCTTATTTAATATATATCATTGATTCATTAACACTGAACTCATGGCCAACAGCACTATAATTCATGTCTGAACAAAGCTTCTCTAACTTATGTATTTTCTCTGTAATGTATATCTAAGAGAGGTATAGCTAAGATGTTCCTAAACTTCTTGAGTTTAGGAACACCAGGCAGTAAAGACTACACTTGGGGGCCATTTTAAACAGTGAAATCACCAAGAAAAAGTACAGGAAGCGAAAAGCTAATAGTAAATAGTAAATAGACAGTGAGAAAAACATTTGTTGTGAGAGCTAAAACGAGAAGGCAGAGCATTGTGGCGATTGACCTCGATTGAGTGTGGGCATGTGGAGCAACTCAAATTTTTGTTTTTGTCACGCTGCACATGTCTGTGAATGGCCACAAAAACATGTCATTTTAGGGATTATAAATCTTGAGTAGGTGAATGCACAAATATGAAATCCACAAATAATAAAGATTGACTGCATTTTGACCATGGGAACAAAAAGTGTATGTTTGTGTGAGTGTGTGTATATGTCTGAAGGAGAGAAGTGCCTTAATTTTCTCATCTTAGCAGGAAATGATAGTACAGATACAGTAAATAGAGCAGAAATTTTCTGTGATTGATATACTAATACAGGGGCTTAAATATTTATTTTCAAACTAAAAAAGGAATCACCAGATGAACTAAAAATAATTTTACAATTAATAAAAGTCAGAAGGTAGAATTCAGGTGAGTAGGGAGAAGTATTGAGTGTGCTAAAGCTCTAATCATGTATAACAGAGGATCGTTAGATACTGTCTCAAGTTACTGAAGTAAGAATTAGAGCAGAGCAAGGAAAGAAAACTGTTCTGACAGAGCTTAGCAGCAGGACACATAGCAGAAGTCAGCAGTGTGCTCCATAACAGTCTGAGATACAGTTTCCTGAAGACCAAAATCCTTGCAAGGGGTTCACATTGGTGGGTAATTGAGTCCGTACACCTAAGTCTGGAGCAGTTCTGCATGTAATCTGCTTGTGGCCTGCAGTCCACACATTTACATACCATGAAACTGAGATTTTAGTATTTCATATAAAGTTATAAGGACAATGGCCAGAAAAATTAGAGCAGGTTATAAACCTCCCAGTATGAGAAAGAATACATAAAAGAAAACAACAAAGAGAGAGGGCAATCCATATAGGAAAAAGTAAGAAAGCACTAAAATGAGAAAATAACAGCATTACAGTATTAAATCCAGTTGCATCAGTTTCGGTTCTCTAGAAAGCAGACACCAAGGTGGAATTAGATGCAGGAGATCTATTGAAGGACATGTATGAGAGGGATAAAGGAGATAGGGTAAAGCCCAGTTAGGTGCTATATATAAGACCCCTTAAAACAAATAGATTCAAAGGGTTAAAAAAGATAAAACTTGCTAGGCAAATGCTAACAAAAAGAAAGCCAAGTTGTGATTATAATGTCATTTGGTAGATTTCAAGGCAAATAAAGCGCATAATGAAAAAGGATATAATTCCTGAAACATTAAGTCTTGATAATAAAAGTAAAAATCTGTGAAACTAAAACTTAGTAGCTTGGGAAACTTGAATTTGCCTCTCAGTATATTGTTGTTACACTTCGCAAAAGAGATGTCCCATTGTTGGTATTTAGATACATTATTTCCAGATGATTAGAGAACGAAATTCCTGATTCCCACACCAGGCCTATTTAAATTCTCATTTTACACCATATCTCTGTTACATGGCATACATCACAGGTTGCAGTTTTATACTTATGTATGTGTTTTGTTTCATTGAAGCCTAACTCTCCCCTGGAAATGCCACCTGACACAGAACCTAGGATAGAGAAGGCTCTTGTTGAATGAACTGCACATTTCCTCTGAGGATGAGAGATTATATATGTAAAGCTGTTATAATATTTAGTGCTGAGAGAGAGGAACTAGGAATCTAGTACTTGCAATGGACTTTTTCAGAGCATAATGCCATTATAAAGATAACTAAGACATTAAAAAATACATGAAGTCCGAGTGGTTCTATTAAGTGAAAAATAAAAATCCATTTGTTTTGCTCTTCTTGCCTTTCAGTAACTTTCCATTTTAAGGGCTTATAGTAAAGACTCAGCAAGTCAAGGAGGTTGACTGAGCCATTCCATAGATGTGAAGTGGGCAGTTGCTGCTGAAAAATAGGCTGGGCCCAAACTTCACAAGTCTTCTCTGAGCCTTCCAAGGACTCGGAGATGTGAGTTTTGACACACTGGCCTAATATTGCTCATTTGGCTCAAATGAACAGACATAAACAGTTCCCTTCTTTGGAAAGGGATCTCTATCTTCCCCAGTATGAACTTATTCCTAATTAATCTCCACAGCATTCCTCTCTTGGGCAGGTAGGTGGCAAATGAAAGGTGACATAATTTCCTCAGACTCCCTGGTGAGTCAGTTACACAACCAGGAACAAAACCTAGTTTTACTTATGACTAAGACCGAGAGGCTCAACCCTATTCTATGACACTGTTCAATAAAGTGACCGAACAGTCAATTATTTACTCTGAGACTTGCTCTGCAAGCACCAGACAAGTTTCAGTCCATGTTCTCCAGGAGCGTGAGATCTACAGGAAGAGAAAAATGAAAGGCGCCAACAGATGGAAAAAGTATTTACATAGATGAATAAATTCTCACATCTAATTCACAGAATAGTGTCTATAGTTAACAATACTGTCTTGTATACTTAAAATTTGTTAAGAGAGTAGATCTTAAATCTTCTCCACCCCTCACCCCCCATTTAAAGGTAACTATGTGAGGTGAAGGGTGTGTTAGCAACCTTATTGTGGTAATCATTTTACAATATATATGTATATCAAATGATCACATCATTCACCTTAAAATTACACAAGATTATTTGTCAATTATATCTCAATAAAGCAGGGGGAGGGGAGGAAAAAAGTAAAGACAGTATCTATACTATGAGCATGCCTCACTGCACATGCTATTTGATGGTGTAGAGTGAAAAGAAGAAAGAGTGATTTGGGGCTCACTATTTTCTAGGAGGAGGAATTTCAAAGCTCACTTAATCTTTACCCTTCTACTTGAGCTTCTTTTGCTCATTCTATTTTAAAACTTCACTCACTTTTGAGTGCCAGAGCCTTTGCAAGAAGTTTCCAATAAAAATGTACACGAATGGACCCGAGTTATTAAGAAAAGGTGTGTATAAACCCCAGGAAGAAAGCTACTCTGAGGCTCAGGATGAGGAAGCAACAATTACTAGGTGTGTAAGTGTAGATTCACTAAGAATAGGGGCCCAGGGCAAATGGTTCCTAAATTCCTATTGGAGGAAGTCAAAAGAGATGTTTCCCAAGGCACTCTTGTCTTCTGTTGGGCAGTCTTCCCCTTCTTTCTCCTCCCTTCAAGGATGGTCATTGACAGCCCTTGCCCTCTCTCCTGGATATCCTAAAGGACCATCTCCAGCTTGCAGCTATGGAACTGTTTGTTGCAAAACTTTATCTCTTACTTGGCTTTATCTCTCTCAGCCAAGCAGGATGCGGGAGAGTGGGTCACAACATAGTTTTAAATAATTCTTATAATTAAAAATACAATACAGTCTTCCTAATCATTACATTTTTGTGTCTGGATACCAATGTTAAGCAGAGGTTTGCTTTTAACTGTTATTTTATCGTGGTTCTTAACCAAAGCCTTATCTAATGTTACAAAATATCGCTGCCTCAATACCCAAGGACCCCAAAGCCTTCCCACTCCCTCTGTCATCTTGCAACTTGATCTTTAGTTTGTTTCCAGCGCCCCACTCCCTTTCAAGCAGAAGTCTCCAGCATTTCTACTTTTGTTTTCTGATATCGGAACTCACATCCTCTCTCTCATTTTTGTAAGTCACTTTTGTAAGTCCTGTCCCCTTTCTTCTTCCTTTTATTTAAGCTTTTTATTTGGAAATAATTTTAAACTTGCAGAAAGCTACAAGAATAAAAAAATATACAGAACATTAATAATGCTTTGCACATATTCATCTATTGTTAACATTTTGCTATGTATGCTTTATCATTTTCTATTTATTTCTCCACCCTTAACTTTTTTTCTGAACCATTCAAGATTAAGTTAGCCATTTACTTATAATACTTCAGTTGTATTTCCTAAGAATTAAGATTTTTCTCTTACATAACCATGATACGGTTATCCACCTCAATTAATTTAACATTGATACTAAACTTTTATCTAATTTAATGTTAATATCTCAATTTTGTCTCTTTGACTTAATAATTTTTTATGGTATTTTTTTCTTCCATTACAGAATCTAATCTAAGACCAAATATTGCATTTGTATATCCTGTCTTTTTAGTCTCCTTTAATATAGAACATTTAATATAAAATATGACACTGACCTTTTTTAAGAATAAAGGTCATTTAAAAAAAAATAGAACATTCCCCATTTTGTGTTTGCCTGATTTTCTTCTCATGGTTAGAGTCAGGTTATTCTTTCCCCACTGAATACTACATAGGTGACATTCTGTCCTCAGTTCCTGAAGTTTCAATTATTGAGTCTTGAACTGTGTGCTGGGATCAGTGAGGGATACAGAGGATTATAAGACACCATTCCAAGGAGATTGTGGTCTAGCAGGATAGACACCCATGTATATAAGTACCCACAACACAGCCCTGAAAGTGTTTTCATTGTGCTGTCACTGAGGTCTATGAAGGGCAGTACTTATGACTGGGTGAGTTGGAGAAGGCTTCATTGAAGGAGGGTAGAATTTGGAAAGATGGTTTTCCTGGTGAAAAAGAAGTCACTACTTGCGAACTCTGAATCAGGTATGACTTTGCAACCTCATTTAACTAGATCTAGCCTCCTGCTATGGTGCTGTAAAGCACATAGAAAGAACTCCATGAGTATAGGACAGCACTCTTACTTGATGCCCAACTAAGGAAAGAACCATCATGATGCCATCTAACTCTTTTATTTTCAGCCACAGATGAAACATGCCCTTCTTTCACGAGACTGAGCTTTCACAGTGCAGTGGTTGGTACAGGACTAAATGTGAAGTTGATGCTCTATACAAGGAGAAACCGGACCTGTGCACAAGCTGTCGACTCTGCAGTTTTGGGGAACTTGAATGTGACCAAGAGAACCACCTTCATCATCCATGGATTCAGGCCAACAGGCTCCCCTCCAGTTTGGATAGGGGACTTAGTAGAGGGATTGCTGTCTGTAGAGGACATGAACGTGGTCGTTGTTGATTGGAATCGAGGAGCCACAACTATAATATATACCCACGCCTCCAATAAGACCAGAAAAGTAGCAATAATCTTGAAAGAATTTATCGACAAAATGTTGGTAAGGGAGAATTCTCTTAGATGATTCAGGGCTAAACTGAAACTGGACCATTATCTGGAGAGTTAAACCAAGAGATACCTGCAGTGAACAAGGGTGCTATTTTGCAAATCCAAATAAGCCCCAGAGAAGCTTGGGGGAAGGGCTGGAGGTAAGGCCCATAGGTGTGGCTGTGCAAGTTGCTCACTGCACTGGGCACTATCTAAGTGAGGATCATTGTCATTGTAGACATTATCGATTTATATGTTTATTATGGTAATTTTCCAGCAAATGACAGCAAAGCATCCTGAGGAAGGGACATATTTTTCTAACTCACATAAAGGTGTCCTATGTGTAGTAGAGTTTCTGTTTAGGGGTTTCCCGGCTTCAATGCCTAGATCTCCCTCAACTTCTTTAGCTGTTCCTTTTCCTGGAAATGTCAAAAGTTTACCGATCAGATTATCCAAAACAAAAACTGATATACATAATCTGATGAGATTTTTCTGTGTATGTATAACTTATGTTTTTAGAAGACTTACAAAGATTAAATAAATTTTAAATTTTATTTAGCAATCTATCTCATGAATTGACCCTTTTATGAAAAAAACAAAAGGTGACTCGATATTGGGACTATTTCAGAGAGTCACTGTGGCCAGCAGTGGCATAAGTTTTACATGAATTCCCTACCCTACTTCTTTCTTTCCTTCTTTCCTTCCCTCTCCAGAGTGAATTTATTTAACTGAACTAGGATGAAGGTAAAGGAGTCCCTCAAACTGTATCGTTACCCTTCTCCCCACCTGGGAAGGTCTTTAAGATGTCTTGGCTTGGTTTCTAGCAGAAGCATGAATAGCGACATCACGACACAAAGGTTAAGGCACAGGTTTGGAGCTGGGCAGACTAGTTTGCATCCTGCTCTGTTCCCTTCCCGATTGCCTGACCTTACGCAGATTACTTCAACATTAGGCCTCAGTTTTCTTATCTGTATAATCAAAAGAATGGTATTTAATTTGCAGGAGTGTTGTGATACTTATATGAGACGATGGATATAAGGTGCTTAGATACTATTCTCCAAAGTCAACAGATAGAAATTTTCTCCAGATGTCGTCAACTCCTTGGCCCCCGCAATTTATAATAATGGACCTCTTAAAATTCCAGGCAGAAGGAGCTTCTCTTGATGACATTTACATGATTGGAGTAAGTCTAGGAGCCCATATATCTGGGTTTGTTGGAAAGATGTTTGATGGGCAGCTGGGAAGAATTACAGGTAAGGCTTCCTGTGAACGGGTGTGGGGTGGTTAGCTGGGACAGGGTATTCACTGGGGGAGCATGATGCAGGCAATCCAAGTCCTTGGGTTCAAAGCTAGCTCTTCCAACTGTTTAATGTCTCTGAGCATGTGTCCTCTTATGCAAAAGGAAGACCATGCTAATGTTGACCTCAGGTTTTTATTTAATAAAATATGTACAAAGCTCTTTGTAAATTGTATATGCCATAGAAAAGATTGGCGGTGACTTTATTTCTCTTATGGCTAGAAAAACAGCTATCTCCATGGGAATTTGATCTGTGCACCCCAAGCAAATAGGCTTCCTTTCATTTAATCAAGAATAGCTTGAACTACATACCTAATATGTTTCTGTCCCCAAGCACAGCTGGAGTTTCATGATGGGAAAATGAGATGGGAATTCTGATGGTTGGGGTTTACTTTCTGAATATCAGCTTTTAGGTTAAAACTGAATGAAAACACTCAGCAACACGGTAGGTCAAATCCCAAACAAACAAGTGCTGGGTTTTCTTGCCTACTGCTCTAGTAACTTTCCATAGCTACAAGTAAAGGACTGAGGGAGGCTTTCTCTTTCAGAGACTCAAGACTTCATTCATTCATACCTTTCCCAGAATCCATCCTCACATGAAGATAGCTATTTTAATTCTAGGGAATCTGGAAAGTAGAAGAAGGGGGGAGGGAGAGGTAAATGATTCAAACCAGCTACACTTGGGAGGTAAGCTTTTAGGGCTACAAGTGTGAATGTGCTGCTAAACTTGACTGGTACCTGGGCAAACTATTCTCTCTGTCTCTTCTCTCTGTCTGTCTCTCTCCTGTCTGTCTGTCTCTCTCTCACACACACACATCCCCCACATTGGCTGGTACATTCTTTTTCCTTGCTGTTTTTCTCACTTTCACCCCAAAAGCCAAGTCTGCCCTCATCTTCTTATTTATAAATCCTTCTTTCCTAGGAAAGCAAAGCTCTTTCTAGTTTTAAAATTAGTAGTATTATTATGTTTTAGAAAGCAATGTGTCCTTACTTTTTAAAAATTTCCTTTTCCCTTACAGGTACAAAGGACAGATGGCTTGTATTTGCCTATGTTCCTTAATTGTCAAGAGCTCCTTGTGGTGGGTGGGACTTTTCCTAGTGGTGTGTTTAGAAGCTAACCAGCTCTCAAAGAAAAGAAAAAAAAAACAAACGCCAAACCAAAAAACCAGATTTGTAGTGTTTGCTGATTTCCATGGTATAAATACTCTCACTGTACCTGATTTCAAACTACCAACCTAATATCACTGACCACAGAGTTTGAAGAAAGATGATCAAAATCTGCTCTCCAGTGCCAGTCCCGGCCACCACTGCCTTATTCTGCTATTCCCCAGTTTTGCTCAGCCTCACAGCAAACCTGTTCCACGACTACTTTGAATGTGAATGCAGTGTAACTTGGTCTCTGACCATGGAAAGTCCCCCAGCCAGCCTTCCTTCCGCACTGGGCCCATAAGGCCCTGCTCTGTGGCCTGGACTCAGCCAGTGGTTCACAGTTCAATTTTCTGTCTCCACTGATTCCACCAAATTGTCCCGATTCCTCATCCTCTCTGAGTCCCAAGGCCAAACTCAGCTGTCCCTGAGAACTTTCAGGAGTAAAGCATTTTCCTTACCCACTCATCTCCCACTGCCTCGCCTGAATGGGCTCACTGAATTGTGGGGTGGGAATTTGGCCTCTTACCCAAGGACATAATTCATTCCCAACCCCCAAGAATTGGACAGTTCTGTTTGTTAATTATCTAGGCGGGAATGGCCGCTTCATCTCTTCTATGTTTCTTTCTTTCTTTTGCTCTTCCTTTTGCTTTTTATCACCACACATCTCTCCTGGTTTGACTTCTTATTAACTTCTTCAACAGAAGATGTCAGAGGAAGAATGGATTTTAAAATATTTTAAGTACCTACATCGGCTAATAATACACTAAATTTAATTCTCAATTTTAAGTGTGTGTAAAAAATGACTTTGGAGTGCTGGTTACAATGTCTGCTTGCTGAATTGGAATCTCTGAGGTTGGGGTTCAGGAGTCTATACTTTTAACCAAAAGATGTAGGTGTTCTTAACACTATATGTTGAGAAATGGCCATGTCCAATATAGCAACCACTAGGCACATGTGGCCATTGAGCACTTGAAATATGGCTAATGCAAATTTAGATGTGCTGTAAGTTCAAAATCCATGCTGGATTTCAAAGACTAAATACTAAAAAAGAACATTAAAAATATCAAAATTTATATTTATTACATATTAAAATGATCATAGTTTGGATATATTGGGTTAAATAAACTGGGTTAAGTGAAATGTATTATTAAAATTAATTTTTCTTAGGTTTCATTTTTTTACTTTTTTAGAAGTGGCTGTTAGAAATTTTAAAATTATATATGTGGCTCACATTATATTTCTATTGGACAGCATTGCCTTAGAGAGTTCATGGTGACTTTGGGTACGAGAGTAGGAGGTCCCTGAACCTGCATGCAAATGACGTCTGTCCTTTGATCCATCAAATTCTCAAACCAGTTAATGAGGCAGCCAAAAACAGGGATCACTATCTAGACTCTTTCCTGCTGGTCTCAGAGCAACAAGAAAGAGCTCCATTTTCTCATTTTGTCTCTATTCTATCATAATCTCAAAATGTTCTGGATTGAAATCCAAGAGTCCTTTTATAAGTCTTCAGAAGTGGCTGTTAATTCTACTTCCATTTTGTAGATAAGGAAACCAAGGTTCAGAGAAGTAAAGTAACCTGCCTAAGGTCACGTTAGGTTTGGGGCTTCACGTCATGTCTATCTTGACTCCAGTGGTCTCTGCCCACACAAAATAAACAGCTTTTTAGGGCAGCTTAACTGTGATTTTTGGCTGACATTGTAAACTGATCATTTGCTATGGCTTATCACTAGGGCAATCATATATCTAAGTTTACTGGACAGTCTCCATTTGTATCTTACATCCTGGTATAATTATTAATAGCCCCCTCGTCACTTTCAAAATTGCCCTGGTTTGGACTTTATATAGCAAGCCGATTTATCTGCCATGGATCTGGAAGCTGCTATAAACTGGGGCTCTCACTGTTTCACTGTGCATTTTCTTAAACCGGAAGTGGTGCTGTCTTCCGTGAGGAGAAGGAGGCTTCCTCAGCAAACTCTTTCCAAGGTTAGGAGTTTCTCTTGCTCTGTTGAGAACATCCTGTGGACTTGGCTGCCTGAGTATTGATCCATCTCCCACATCAGTTTCAGTTGGAAGCAGGCAGAAGAACAAGCAAAGCTGGTTGGGGGTGGAGAAAAGAAAAGGAGGCACATAAAGACATGTCTTAATACAGCAAGAGTGTTGGAAGAGGAGAAATGGAGAGATTGAGGCTAGAACCGAGAAAGTTGAGTCAAAAATGCTATCTCTTGGATTTTATCTGTAACACCAGATGGGAGATGTCATTTAAAATGGCATTCATAGGTAATATGTTCAATAAGTCTCTTGAAACCTTCTTTTCTCCAGGTAGGTTTCTAGCAAGCAGGGCTTATTTGAACCTCTATTGTTTGGTTTTGGTTTTTAGTTTAAAGTTTTTATTTACAGCATCATGGGATCTGCTGTCTTGCTTTTACAGCTGTTTCATAATGGTGAGGAACGCCCAGCTAGCATTGACCAAAGGAAAGAAATAAATTCAGGCATTTATAGGGTGGGTCAATTCTGTAGAAGTTGACACCCACTTTACTTCCCTCTTTGATACCTGGTCTGCTACCTGGCCTGAT